ACCCTGCAATCCACCATTAAGAAACCACTCCTTGGCGGCGGGTCACAGCAGCTTAAGGGGTGAGAGGAGCAGCAGCCATCAGGCAGCCCAAGCCACAACTGGCACACGTCCTCCCCGTTGCCAGTATGCCCGGGAGGAAGGTTAATTTTGTCCAACAGACGGTGAAGGAAGCACCCAAGAGAACCTGCAAGAGTGGGAGTGAAGCCTGAGAAAGCAGCCAGCAAGGAGAAGTCACCGGACAGAAAAGTGCAAGCTCGGGGAAGGCAGGAGCAAAGGGGTCCCGACCGAGGCAGCTCACCAAGAAGCTAAAGAGAAACTGAAGTAGACGAGAAACAGGCCGAGTCTGATGATCATCATACATCAGTGGTCCCAGGCTCCCTTCTTGCACGTGGCACATGCTCATCAACTGTTTTGCAAACAATCTACAGATAGTTTTAAGAAGGAAGGAGGCCCACCTTATCACCCCATCTCACCTCCCCCTCCCCATTTTAAGGGTAAATGATTTTAAGAGGTGAAATAGTTTGCTGGCTGTTTATCTTTCAATTAAATCAGAAACTAGAGGGATACTGAATTATAGGAGGCTTTGACTATCTTGAGTGTCAGCATTCCTTACTTGGTTTTGCTATCCCACAACACAACACAACACAACGCAATGCAACACAACACAACACAATGCAACGCAACACAACACAACACAACACAACACAATGTAACGCTACACAACACAACGCAACGCAACACAATGCAACACAACACAATGCAACGCAACGCAACACAACGCAACACAACACAACACAATGCAACACAACACAATGCAACACAACGCAATGCAACACAACACAACACAACACAACGCAATGCAACACAACGCAATGCAACACAATGCAACACAACACAACGCAACGCAATGCAACACAAAGCAACACAACACAACGCAACACAATGCAACACAACACAACACAGCGCAACAACACAACGTGACACAATGCAACACAACGCAACACAACACAATGCAACACAACGCAACACAATACAACACAACGCAACGCAACACAACGCAACACAACACAACGCAACGCAACACAATGCAACACAACACAATGCAATGCAACACAACACAACACAACACAACGCAACACAACACAGTGCAACACATACCAAATGGCAATGCGGTGTCAGAATTCTGCATTTATTCTATACTGGATATTTTCAATTACTTTTTCCATGTCATTTGGTAGAACTGTTTCCTGCACAAAAATCATTCTCTGCTGCTTTGTCAGGCCCGCGTGTGTTCCTGTAACATCTTGGGCTGTGGTAGCCCATTTTCCTAATCATTTTGTTGATCTGCTATGAGAGATTTAAAAAATTCGATATGCCACGTATGTGATCTCAAATTGTGAATTAGTAGGATTTATTTAACAGCAGCACCTTGACAGCCTCTGCAGGAAGAGGTGCTTCCAAGTTTTAAGCTGAAAAGACACTGGGATAACTCAGAATGACAATCCATGTTCTTTCAGTACGTATCTTAAGAACTGCGTTCTACTTGAAACATCTGTGAACTGGTTCTCGACACCAGTGAGATCTCAATGATGAACAACAACCAAAACAGAAACCACTACTTGCTGAGCTTGGAGTTTTGGTTTAATGTCAAATAACAACAACCTCCGTGATCTGAAGACAGTTAAAGCACTCCTTTTCTCAATGACAGTGAGGCCAGGGTTTCTTTCTACTTTCATGAAAATGCTGTCTTACAACAGATGGGATGCACAGATACACCACACTGTATTTCAACAGAAGCAGATCTGTCTTCCAGTAAGCCAGGCATAATGGGATTTGAAAAACAGATAAAGCAATGGGATTTCCCCCTATTAAATTTTGTTCTGCTTTAGAAATACAGCTCTTTTTTCATAAAATTATTCATGTTATAATGCAACGTCTTCATTCTAAAACAGGAGTAACTACTTCAGAGACTTCTTAAATTTATAATACTTAACTATCAGCAGATGTAACTCCTTTGTAGTCTTTAGCGATTTTTTTTTTTCAGGAGTATAAATGGGCTTGTCCTAAGAATAAAATAAAACAACAACAACAACAAAACCACCTGAGGCTGTTGTATTAGAGAATGCTTCTCATACAATTGAAACAATTGGAGCAACACTGCGTCACGATTCCTGGTGAGTATTAACTATCTAGCTCAGGGAAACACACCAAATGACGGCTGTAGGGTGGCCTGGAAAGGCTCTGCTCACACACATATGTTACAAAGCATCTGAAATGGGACAACCTCAGGGGGAAGACGTGACCTGTGGAGACACTAGCCAGTTGTCTTACAAAGGGTATCTATCTTGGTGTGTTAGAAGAGCGGAGAAGCTCCCAAGCTAGACTGACACTGAATCAGAGGCCCATCTTTCCTCTATTGCTCATCAAATGACCACAATAGCCAGAACTGGACCAGGCTTAAGTCAGGAGAAAGGGAAGATGATCCTGGCTTCGGATCAGCTTAGCTCTGGCCGTTGCGGCTACTTGGGGAGCAAACCAGTGGACAGAAGATCTTTCTTTCTGTATCTCCTTCCCTTTGTAAATCTGCCTTTCCAATAAAAATAAATAAGTCTTTAAAAAACAAGAAAGAAAAACGTAATTTATTTCATTTTCTGTACACTGGACAGTGGCAACAGACTGACCTGGGAGCAATACATACCCAGGATTCAGAAACTTGGGCCTATTTTACTAAAAAAAAAAATAAATAAATAAAATAGACAACTGTGAATGAAAAACAATGTTTTTTGTAGAAGAGTCTCTATACTCCAGAGATCTGTATAAGCTGAATATCCCCTACCCCTGGGACTAGAAATAGGTCAACTCTGAAATTTTTTTTTTAGGTTTTAGAATATGCTTTTTTTCATGTTTTGTACTCAAAATGACCTACCCAAGGCAGGGGACCCAGGTCTAAACATGAAGTCCACATGTTTCCTGTATGTACACAGGCAAAAGGTAGTTTAATGCAGTATTTTTAACATACATGTGGGTCAGGGGTGGATTCCACGCGTGGTGTCATTTAGTGCTCACCAAGCTTCGGATTCTGGAACCTTCTGGGTTTGGGGTTAGGGCTGAGGATTTGAGTACCATGCTTCCCCACCCGACTTACACCATTAGGCTTCAGTGGGGGCCTCTTGGTAGACTTGGCTGTAATTAATCCCATTCTTCACGCAGCCCAACAACAACACTCCAGGGGAATGAGAAGTGAGGACCAGCATGTCCTTAACCCGAGGTGCTGACCTGCAGGTCTGTCCTGCCGGCACCCTCCACAACTTCCCGTTAGTCCTCCCCTCTCTCTGCGTGGGCCCGTGTGGGGCTGTCACAGTCTCGTGACAACCGTCTCTTCCTCTCCCCCAGTCCCGTCTATCCCACGGCAAGACCCACTCCTTTGGCACTGCTGAGGCTAGCAACGCGACAGACAGGGAGAAGAAATGGCAGAAAAATGGAGCTGATGAACAAAGCTCCATTTCAGATTATAAAGGCATCTTAAAGACAGGCTGGAGGGCAGGGCGCGGTGGAAAGGTGGTATAGCATGCTAATCCTTCACTTGTAGGGTCAGCATTCCATATGGGCACCAGTTTGAGTCCTGCCTGCTCCACCTCCAAATCAGCTCCCTGCTTATGGCCTGGGAAAGCAGCACAGGAAAGACCAAGTACTTAGGCCCCTGTACCCATGTGGGAGATCGGGAAGAAGCTCCTGGCTCCTGTTAGCTCCTGCCATGCGGCCATTTGGAGAGTGAACCAGTGGATGGAAGATATTCTCTCCCTTTCTCTCCATCACTCCGACTTGCAAGTAAAATAAACAGCAATGAGGGGCTGTGCACTTGGCTTCACGGTTAAGCCGCTAATTAGGACCTCACATTAGAGCAACCGGGTCAGAACCCCGGCTCTGGCTGTGGGCTCCAGCTTCCTGCTAATGCAGCAGCCATGGGTTCCTGCCACCAGCATGGGAGACAGATTGAGTTTCTGGCTCCTGACTTGCAGCACCTGTCCAGCTATCATGAACATCTGGAGGATGAGGTGCGTACTGGAAAACAGAAGCTCTCTCTATCATTGTGTTTCTACAATCAATAAATACAGATCTCCTTAAGAATTAGAGCTGCTGAAAATGGGCCCAGAGGGGAGGCAAGAAGCCAGGCAGCTGGGCAGTCAGAGGGAATGTTGGCAACTTTAGACTGCAGCCCTTGACCCCAAAAGGAGGACCTGGGGGTGAGGATGGGCACTTGACCGTGGCTAGGAGCAGGGGCTGTGTTTTCTGCCTTCTGAGCCGGGCCAGGCTGTTACTGTCAAGAGCCTTTATTTAAAGCCTCCGCCTCCAGCTGCCTCTGGTCTGGGCTCTTCTCTACTTCCGTCAGGCATTCTTCTGTGCCCACATGCAATAAGATCAGTCTACAAGGGAGCGAGGCCAGCAGAGTCATGGAAGCCCAAGCTGCTATGTTGCTAACAACAGGCACTCCATGGATTACGGGTGGCCTGAGTGTAACAGCAGCCTCTTTCTGAAGGCCACTGGATGTCCTTGAGCATCTGTTTGCAGGGAAACAAAGGCAAGCCAGGATTGTGGCAGCAGGTGTCAGGTGAGTGGGAACACTATTTGTATGGTCCTGTTTGTGTCTGTCCACGCACAGCAAGCCAGGTGACAGATATCAGCACCACAGAGGTGGACGTGGAGGCTCTGCAGCCACAGCACTCCACTGATTGCCCTTGGCTGTGAACTGCTCACCCAGGCACTGCCCCCACCCCCAAGACCAAATAGTAACTCCATGACGGATAACGTGAGTGCCAAACTACATCATTAGAAACTTTACCATGCAGAACCAGCCTAGTTTCCAGTTAATCAGGGCTACTGTGCCCCTACCAAGAGATGAACTCCTGAGGAGGTTTCCTGCCATCCCACGTGAGGATGGCTGCTTGCCTTTCCCATCCACTTCACGTGCAATGGGGCAGAGAGGGTTGCATGCAACCCACCTGTCTCTCCGGACACCTGCAGCCGCTGACCGTTGCAGAAGGCGCCCCGGCCCCTCTGGCCTGTGTACAGCCGCTCCTCGGTGCAGTGGTAAATCACCCCGAATTCCAGCTGCAGGGGGGCAGGACAGAACACAAATGCACATAACTCATCTGACATGGACAATACGGCAACTCAGAGGGAAGCCCGCTCCCGGTGGCGAGACTGGCACACAGGTAATGGGACAGAGAGTGTCTTCCAAGAAGCGAAAAACATCGGTCTAGATTCCACGCTAGGCCTGGATGGGGAGGCAACATTTCTTTTGCATGAGTATTTTAAGCATATAGAAACACTGGGGGCTGGTGTTGTGGCTCTAGCAGGATATGTCGTTGCCTGTGACACCAGTATCCCACACGAGCGTGGGTTCTAGACCTGTCTGCTCCACTTGCAATCCAGCTCTCTGCTAATGCATCTGGGAAAGTAACTGAAGATGGCCCAAATGCTTGGGGTCCTGTCACTCACGTGGGACACCTTGATGGAATTTCAGGTTCCTGGTTTTGGCCTGGCCCTGCCCCAGATACTGCAGTCATTTGGGGGAATGAACCAGCAGACAGAAGAGGTCTCTAAATAATTCTGCCTTTCCAATAAACAGGATGTTTAAAACAAACCTAAAAGCTAAAAACAAACAAACAAAAAAACTATTTTAAAGTTCATATAATAATAGAGCATCACTAACCAAAAGTTACTGAAAAGGGCTTAATTCTTTAGAATGGCCTGTAGGGCTGACATGGTGGTGCAGTGAGCTGGTCCTCTGTCTGCTCTGTACATTGGTATCACATATGGTCACCAGTTTGTGTCCCAGCTGCTCCACTTCTGATCTGGTTCCCTACTTACAGCCTGAGACAGCAGCAGAGGACGGTCCAAAGCCTTGGGACCCTGCACCTGCATGGGAGACCCAGAAAGAAGCTGGCTCCCAATTTTAGATCAGTTCAGCTCTGGCTGTTATACCTAGCTGGGGAGTGAACTTTAAAATCTTCCTGTCAAATAAAAGTAAACACATCTTTTTTTTTTAAAATGGCCTGGAAAAAAAAAAAAAACGTATAGCTGCAGGAAAAGGGCTACTTGTGACTAATCCAACCCCTTAAGAAACCTTCCAGACTGCTGATGTGTGAAGAATTCAGACGGCATCAGGAAAGCCGACGCCAGCTCAGGAAAAGACAAAGAGACCTGGCTCCCCGTGGAGGGCTTGAGCCCAAGAGATCACAGTCTCTCCAGTAGCTCCCCGGTATGGCTCAGGGTCTTGTGACAGCAAGGTGCAAATGGAAGAGGTTGGTATGAGGCAAGGCATAGCCCCTGGCCCGTGTGTCTCCATCACCAGTCCCCTGCCTACTTCCCACCACTCAGGACCCAGCACTGAGCCAAGTGTTCACCTGTATGGAAAATATAATGACCCAGGTCAGTGCTTTCCCAAAGCCTTGGCTGGCCCTGGGGTGAACTGAACGGCTCTAGAATGTACGCTCCCAACTTCTGGAATGGGGAGAGGGGAGGAGGAAGACAAGGGGTCATTCGGCTCACTTACTGAGAGCTCATGGTGTTCTGGCAGTACTGATTCCTTCCCTCACTCCCATGACCCTGGCCTTTCCCAGGATTCCCAAATCTGGATCAACCCTAGACCTAATGGCTTCTGAGAGTCTGGTGGGATCCCCAGACCAAGGGAAGACCAAGGGAAATGTCCTGGCCCTGGGGTGCGGGGGACAAAGGAAAGACACACATGGTACCCCCAGGTGGGGCACCATTCTAAACCAAGAGCTCCTGCGTTCCGTTGCTAGGAATAGGGGACAAACATAGGCTGCTGGGAAGGTGGCCTCTTACTGCCCATCTGGTGGTTGTGTCCTGTGTACACTAGTCTCGGGGACAATGTCTAATAGAAAAACAAGTGAAGAGCTGACTATTTCCCCACATGCCAACGTTAACATTCTTACTTGTGCTCAATTTTGGGATGGATTCAAATTGCTCTCGGCGTCTCTGCTGGGAACCAAGTACTGGGATGCGCAGGTGCTTCCCTGTAGGATGCCTGGACACCCCAGCCCTGTTTCCATAGCACTGTTACAACTACGAAGAAGTAACTGCCCCAGCCCTTCCTTCTGGGGCAGGTCCTGGGACAGCGCCTGGCTTAGGAGGTCTCCAGGGAATCCTCAAAGAGGTCCGTTCTCCCACGCCCAGCCTGAGGGAGACCCAGAATCAACAGAATATCGGGATGCAAAAGGTTCTCCCAAAATAGGAATTCTTTTTCCTTTGTGACAGGATCACACGCTCCAGGGGTCAACTGGAGTCTGACTGGGACCATCTGCTGGAAAGGTCTCCTTCCAGGGCAATGCCCCGGGCTGGTCCCCAACCACACACACACACACACACACACACACACACACACACACACACACACACACACACACACTGCTCCAGGCTCATTCATAGTTTGTGGACTTAGAAGAACATCTCCGTGCACTCCCTAGTCATAGTGAAGACAGGTGGGGAGGGAGCAGATGGGAAGACCGCATACCTCTTGGTGCACAGCGAATCCAATGCTGACAGCCACGGTGGGGAATCTGTAAGGAAACAGAAGAGTTGGTGCCTGACAACCTCCTGGCTGTGTGGGGCCTCCTGGGAGGAACATGGGGGCCTCAGTGTGCTTTGGCTGGCCTGTTTTTATTAAAAACAAAACAAAACCACTTTCCACAATGTTATTCACTGCTTCCAAGACAGACTTCTCTGGCTTTGTGGCAACAGTGGACCTCAACAGAAAAACAGCATCTGAGAGCCACGGGAGATTGATGCAGTTCAGTGGTGATCATCCCAAGACCAATGGGGAATGACTTTAATAAGGGGACTTCTAGACCTCAGGGCCCCACAGCCCTCCCAGGGAGCCAGTCCAAGAGGTTCAGCGGAGGCTCTCAGAGGCTGTAGTCTCCCCACGCAGGCCACCTTTCGCAACCCTAGCCCAGCCCTGCCCTCGCTGCTGGAGCCAGCCAACGCAGCCAGAGCAGAGTGAGTGAGCCACAGCCGACACTCGGTTTTTGTCCGTATGCCTGGGGTTCTGTTTGGTGACCACATGGGTGTTCAAGGCCTTCGAGATAATCTCTCCTGTCTAGGACAGTGATCGGGGCTTAAAAGCAGGTAGGAGGCGTGCCAAGGCCAGGGCCTGAGAAAGGCAGAGCAGGTCTCTTGTGAGCACGCCCCACCTGCCGGGGGGGGTGGGGTGGGCGGGAACACTAAGCTTGGGCCCTGCTGCTGCCCACACATGCATGTGTGCCCCCTCCCCGCCAGGCTGGTGTCAGCTCCTATGTCTATTTTCTACCCAAAACTCTTCTCCCAAGCTGCTCTCACTCTGCCCTGGGATCCTGAGGCCTCCAAGAGTGCCTTGTAAACAGTGGTTCTGGAGCCCCCGGAGTCACCGGAAACCCACAGATGGACACCTGGCCCTCCCCACATGACGCTGCTCCACTTGGGGAACACCCTGGTGAGTGTGTTGGGGAGGGTGTGGCGCTCTGGTCACAGGGCTGTGGGTGCCAGATGGCTCCATTCCATCACCTCCCTTAGCACAGGCAAGACCTGGGGCCAGGAACTCCCTGCAGGGCTGCTAGGCACGCTCAGGTGGGAGAACCACTCAGCCCCAGCCTGTGGTCAGGGAGCTTCCTGTGCTTTCCTCCCTGTCTCCTCCCTGATGCTTCCCCTGTCCTCCCTAAACTTCCTGCTCTCTGGAACTGAGGTTTGCCCCTGTAGGGAAGCAGCCCTGGGTCTCGCTGGCACTGCCCTCTGTCTGCCCTTGGGGCCCTGGCAGTCACTGGTTGGCACAGGCCACACCTCTGAACCCTGTTCCCAGGCTTGGATGTGCACACATGCCCTACAAATGCTCTTTTAGATTAGGCAAAGCATTCAGGAGAGCAGATGGGATTCTGCCTTGGAAGGGCTTCCCACCTCCACTCACCTGTGCACGAAGTTACAGGTGCCATCGATGGGATCAATGATCCAGGTTGGACTGTGGGTGAGCACGCACTTGGCCCCAGAGGCTGCAGCCTCCTCTGCAATGAACCTGTGGCAGAACAAAGGGGGCCTGAGAAAATGCAGTGGGGGCTCCACTCACTGGGCTCGAAACTGCTTCCAGTCCTGGGAGGGAGAAAAAAAACAGCCGAGGGCAGAGATTTCCTGGTGGTTTCTCAGTCAAACTGCAGGACCCAAGTTTGGGAAGAGGCATCACAAGCTTGGAGCAGGTGGAGGGTGGGGAAGGTGCACATGAAACAGCGAAGGGTACAAGGCAGGGCTTAGGGAGCAAAGTTAAACTCTGATGTATTCCTAGTCCTGGACAGGGGCCAATGGCATCACAAAGGAATCTGGGAGAGGAGTGATGGATAATGTCCGATGACCCGGGGCACCAGGGGCCTAAATGTTCCCTGCAGCCAACACCTCCATGGAATTGCAGACACAGGTGACCAAAGTTGGATGGGAGCCGTGGCTCCTGTTTCCCCCAGGATGCCCTCACTGCCCTGTCTCGGGCTTCCCTTCCAGGTAAAGTGGGGGATGGCATGGAGAGCAGAGCCAGGTAACGATGGCACTGCTGGCTCGCTCCCACCCTCTGAGCGCTCGTGAGGGTTCCTGCTGGCCCGAGTGGTCTCCTCGCACTGCTCAGGGACACAGCTGCCTGCTCCAGGCCTGAGACTCCTGTACTCTCTATAGCCATCCTCATGTCGTCCACCCATCAGGAACCTGAACAAAACAGCATCTCAAGACAGACCTGCACCACAGGGGACTCTGGCTTCTTCCATACACTGCATCAGGTGCACCAGTGTAAGCCTTCAGGCCAGTACTGTGGCATAGTAGCTTAAACCCTGGCTTGCAATACTGATGTATCCTATCTGCAGTGCCAGCTTGAACTCTGGCTGCTCTACTGCCAAACTAGCTTCTTGCTAAACTATGCCTGGGAAGGTAGCAGATGACGGCCTAAGCGCTTGGGCCCCTGCCAGCTGCCTGGGAGATGCTCCTGGACTTCTGGCTTTGGGCTCTCCTCCTTCCCAGCACAGAGCAGCGCTCAGGGCAGACCCAGCACCCTCCCAGGTGTGAAGGGGCCTTAGCGCAGGTCCCAGGCAGGCACTGAGCACACGTGGGTTTGGGAGATGAGCACGGAATCTTGCTAAAGGGCTTTGCAACAAACCCATAGCTATACCATAGGGAGATGTGTGCAGCAGCTGTGTTTGTTTGTTTGTTTTTTCTTACCAACAAGGGACAAGGAGTTAAAAAAAACAAGACAGGATGCCTGTGCCACGGGGAAGCACCCAGGCAGGGCAGGGCACAGTCTCTACCATGAGATATGATAGCAAGCAGCTGGCAGATGAAAGGGGTGAAATGTCCTGATAAGATGAAAAGATCAAACAGCTCTTCCATAACTGCGCCCATTGCTTATGCCGAGATGGATTCAAGTGTGAAGAATTCAGTTCCCAAGTCTCACTGGCCACATTTCCCGGGTGCTCACGGGGTGCTGGTGGCTGGCTGCCCCATGGACAGTATGGACAGGGCCCACTTCTACCAGGCAACAACGCTGTCCCAGGCCAAAGTGCCTCGTGTGCACTTGGACATCCACACAGGACAGTTGTGCCCTGCGATGTCTGGGGCTGTCACTCTGTGCACGGGCTGTGACATCCGTGTTGCGGAGGGCCTGCTAGGCAGTGGAGAGTGAACACTGCGACTTCGGGACGTGTGACTTAAGATGCCATGGCTTGGAGAGCCTGGACAGCCAGGGCTGGCTCCGGGAACTCATGGCCTCTAGGCAGAGAAGGCAGACGACCCCTGGGATACTGGAGCCCCTTTCTCTGCCTGAACGTGCACCCTCCCCTTCTTCAGGGAGCCGCCTTCCTCCCCACAGTCCTGGCACTGCCTCTGGTCACGCAACCAGGCAAGCTGGCCAGGGTCCTGCTCAGGGGCTGGTTTTGCCTAGACCAGTCCAGATAGAATAAACAGCAGGAGAAAGACATGGTGGGGACCATGACAACAAGGCAAGCACCGTGAGCCCATGACTTCCAGGGGTGCCAACTTGGCCATGTTTCTAAGTCAAACATGCCGGGAACTCAGCCTGTTGGTAGCGTGTCTTTTGGTGGCTGTGAGGGTTCCCTCCCCTGAAATGGCTTTGCATTCTGCTATCAGAGAGTGGTTCACACCCCGAAAGCACACGCAGCAGGAGCGAGTGCCAAGGCCGAAACTGGGAGCAAGGTCATGGAGGCAGTGTGCAAACACCACCAAGGTCAGCGAGGGAGGGCAGCAACTCCCGTGCAAGGACAACTGCCCAGGAAACGTGAGGAACGTGGGATTTCTTTCCTTCATAAACCCAATTTCAAACAGGAAACTGGAGAGTCAGCGAGGGCGTGCTTAACGGCCCTGGAAGAGGAGGAAAGAACGTGCCAGCAGTCATTAACACCTAAGAAGCCAAGTCCCAATACACAGGGCTCCTGGACTCGTGGCCACACGTGTCGGGGAGCACCGGGGTGGGCAGAGGGGCCCGAGAGCGGGTTTGGTGAAAAGTCGTTCAACCCAGCAGCAACTACAACGCTCCTGCTCAGGTTTCTAGTACGAACGATATTTTCCATGGAAATGACTCAAGGAGAGTGTCACTGAACCCTGGACTTGAAAAACATTTATTTACTAAAAACATTTATTTGGGGCCAGGTGCTGTAGCCAAGCAGCTAAGGTCCTCACCATATGGGCACTGGCTTTAATCCCCACAGCCCCACCTCCCTTCCAGCTCCCTGCTTGTGGCCTGGGAAGGCAGTCGAGGATGAGCCAAGGCCTTGGGACCAGGCAGCCACATGGGAGAGCCAGAGGAGGGCTCTGGCCTCCTGGCTTTGGATCGGCTGAGCTCTGGCCATTGCGGCCACTTGGGGAGTGAATCATCGGACGGAAGATCTTTTTTTTGTTGTTTTGTTTTGTTTAAAGGGGTTGTAACATTTATTTTATTTTATTTTTAAAGATTTATTTATTTATTGGAAAGTCAGATATACAGAGAGGAGGAGAGACAGAGAGGAAGATCTTCCGTCCGATGATTCACTCCCCAAGTGAGCGCAATGGCCGATGCTATGCCGATCTGAAACCAGGAGCCAGGAACTTCTTCCATGTCTCCCACGCGGGTGCAGGGTCCCAAGGCTTTGGGCCGTCCTCGACTGCTTTCCCAGGCCACAAGCAGGGAGTTGGATGGGAAGTGGAGCAGCCGGGATTAGAACCGGAGCCCATACAGGATCCCAGTGCGTGCAAGGCGAGGACTTTAGCCGCTAGGCCACTGCACCGGGCCCTAAAAATAAATAAATCTTAAAAAAAAAAAAACAACCCTACCATTTATTTGAAAGCGTCACAAAGAGAGAGAGAGAGAGAGACATAGACACTGAGAGGGATTTTCCATCTGCTGGTTCACTCCCCAAGTGGCTACAAGGTCAGGTCTAGGCCAAGCTGAAGCCAGGAGTGTGCAGTACTACCCGGGTTCTTCCACATGGGAGCCCAAGCAGCAGCACCATCTTCTACTGCCTTCCTAACAGCATCAGTAGGGAGCCAGACAGGAAAGTGGAGTAGCTGGGACACAAATTGGTGCTCCTACAAGATGCCGGCATCACCAGGGGTGGCTTAACCCACAGTACCACAACACTGACTCCTGGGCCTTTTATTATTTTTTTTAACCTGAGAGGCAGAAAAATAGAGAGAGAGAGATAGAGAAGAGATACGGGAGGGAGAGTGGGGGGAATCCATCCAGTGGTTTACTCCCCAAATGCCTGCAGAAGGGAGCTGAGGCCGTGCAGTCTCCCCCATGAGAGACAGGGAGCCAACTACAGTCACTGCTGCCTTCTAGAGCCTGTATCAGCAAGATGCTGGGCTCAGGCACCAGAGCTGGGTATCAAACCGGGTGGGTGCTCCAGGGCAGAACACAGCCGTCTCAGCTGCTAAGCCAAACAGCCTCCTGGAACCGTGGGAATTGCTTAGTGGTTGCATGTTCATGTCCCGGAGTTTCCCACCCCTGGCTTGTGCTTTGCCCGCCACTTGGCTGTCCTGCTTATTAGCCTACCTGCCCCTCGGGAGGCTAGAGGGCATGCAGGGCAGGGTGCGTGGAGGGTGAACAGCAACCTGGATGGTCTCCAGGCTTTTGAAGCATTGAAAATATTTCCCTGGTGTGTGATGAGGGAGGCAGAGCTTTTATTTACTTAAACCTGACTTCCTTCAAGCAGGAAGCTGACATCTGCGGAACAGGAGGGAACATTCTATGGCTCTCTGCAGAGAGGAGAGTTCACTCCACAAACCCTATTCTGCACAGATGCAAGTATAAAATAGTGATTCTTTCATTAAAAAAGTATTGGAACAGCTATATAACATCAATATGTAAGTTATTAAAGTGCACACACACACACACACACAATTCTTCAGAGAGCTCAAAGTACATTCCACAAGTCCATGGACACAGATAGGAAAAGAGCAGCTGGGGTTCAGGGTGGGAGTGTGTGACCAGAAACAGTGATGCACTTCGCGACACAGTTTATTTAACTACTTCCCTTTTCTCTGAACAGCTGCAACAAAGCCTCCTTGTCACTTTGACAGCCAAGTGCCCTGGGGACTTTGCCTGTGGCCACTTAAGTCTGTTTACTCTGGGACAGGAAGGTTAGGACAGTCTCCGGCGCTCCATGAAGGAGCTTGGTGTTACTCAGTCTATCTGCACAAACTATTGCTCTGTCCCCAAGTGGCTGCTCTGCAGGCTGCCGTCCAGGTCCGGGAAAGCCTGAGAGCAGATGTCGAGCTGGACGTGGCAGTGTAAGCGTGCTTTCTGTACGCCAAGGCTCTGGGTGACGTTGTTTGACTCATACATAAACAGACACTGTTCTGTGCTGGGCACACCGCAGGACGCTGGGTCCCTCTGCGGGCTCCAACAAGGGCAGCACAGGCAGCTGGACAGGCCGCACGGCTCAGGCTGCCACTTCTTAACATCTGAGCCGACCAGGACAGCCCCGGACACAGCTACCGGAGAGCAGAGACCTGGCATGGTTTACCTCACGATGGGGCCACGATGCCAGG